GAGAGGGACGCAGAGAGGGAAGTCGCGGCAGGGGTGGAAGAGAGGGTGGACAGTACAGTTGGCAGTGGGTGATTCGACTTCGCCGATTTATGACCGCCGCACGAATTTCGAGCCAATTTCGTTCTGGGCTTCGTACGTACGTACAATACGATCCAAAAGTTTCGATCTTTTCGCCGGGACAATCTGCTCGTCGAGATCGCCGTATCTTCTAGCGAAAGGTATCGACTGGAACGCACTAGGAATTGCAAAACTGCAAGTACGCCGAGTGAGCTTTAGTTGCGTGTTATAAATTGGAGATAGCGATAAATCAATGCTCTTTTCTTTCTTTTTAAATGATCTCGCGCTTTTGTGTCACGCTTTTATTACAGTCTGTTTTCTGGGGAAAATAGCTGGAATGTTGCGTGCTTTTTCAAAAACGTATTAACATGATCGCGCTCTTGAGAGAATTGCAAGATTGTATAAATTTTAATATTTTTAATGGCACGAGCTAGCCGTTTTATTAACCAGCGGCATTTTTATTTACGTGCATGAAACCATTATCTTTTCCTTTATTTCTAAACTGCAAATTCTTTATGTTACACATGCTCAGTACATTCGCTGAATTTAGAACGATACAAATTCCATTAAAACGACTGATGTTAAAGAAAGATAAATGGTGGAACCACCTGACAAATACGATAAGCGTAAATGTAACCTGGCATACATATGTGTATATCTAACACAAGTTGTGCATTACATTTAAGTTTCCCTAAATATTATGGAATATTAAAATTCTCGCATTTTGAAAAATTTAAAGTATGGTGAATCACGCGTGGAGTTTTTATACGGGAAAATGTTTGAATACAATTTTTTTGAAAGTTAGAAATATTTCATGAAAATAATTTCAGATAGATTCTCTTCGTCCCTTTTTTACGATAATTGTATAAATAATTTATTTTTATTTCCATAAAACTCGTATTTTGGAGACGAAATCAACATTCGTAAATTGAAAAAAAAATTTACATAGCAACGAGATGTCAATATATTTTTAGTCACAACTTCGAAGATCTTATTGAGCTTAATATTAAATTTAAAAAATTTTAGTTAATTTTTATTTTATAGTTTCGGCTTTATTCAGCCACATTTCAACAAGATAGTGGCTTAAATTATTGGCAACATCATCAGAAACATTATTATTTTGCTAGGAAGCAATTAGATTTGCCATCGAATTTACAACGATTTTTGTAAATGACAATTTTTCTCGTAATTTTACGTACGCACCGATATTCAATATTAAATCAAAATAAAATTATGTCCTTTATTCTACATTCGTTACATTATATTATTTTAATTAATATGTATTACAGTACGGTATGAGAGCATCATTTAATATAAAATCAATGAATTGTATTAATCGTTGTGCCATTTATTGTCGTTGTAATGTAAAGAAATGAATTTCCTGTAGCAGTAACACATTTCATATTTCGTACTTCCTTCCTTTCACGTTTGAATTGAAATGATGATATCAGTCAGTCTCATTTCCAGAGTTTAATACACTTACTAATCCAATTATATTGCAGTGGAAAGTTTTAACAAATCACCGGTACACAAATATCGAATGTATATATGTCACACGCGATCAACAAATATTAAAATACGGAGTTAATTACAATAGAACTAATTAAACGCATCGTAACGCCACTCAATTCGGAGTTGATCCGTTCTATACCCGCGATATTTCGTTAATAACGAAAAATTTGTAAATGCAATTTCACTCTGATACACAACATATGATGCGATTAATAAAGCTTATGGCTAATTAAGACGCAATAAACCGTCGTAAAATACACATTTAAAATTTTCAGTATTGTCCGCGCATTGCGCATTAGAACACATTTAGAACACACGTATTATTAATAAACGATCGATACGCCAGAGCTTTTCTGTTACTTGGATTACTCGAGCCGGCAAGTTGCGCATTACTCCGCGCTTTCAATCCGAAAATACGGACAAATTACAGATAAATGGACGTAAAATTTCGAGCTTGGAGTACATTCGAGTTCAATCGTTAAAGAAATAATTATCATCCGTAAATCGTGCAATTAAACAATAATATATAACCGTCTCGATTTCTGCTGCTAAATCCAGCAAGAGATCTATTTTGAAAAATAGCCTCGGCTACGAGTTAATAGCGAGAGTTAATTAACCTCGCGGTAATCGCTAATTGCTCATAGAGAATGATCGTGTTTGGTATCTTTTGATATTTGATCCCATTTCGAGGGGTAATGCGATGATACATCGAACGGCTCGTGTCATCAGTCATCATCTTACCCGCTCGAGTTTCATCACACGAATGACAGCAAAGTGACCACATATACATAACACATGCTAACGATATTATTACTTGAATTTTAAATCGACAAATGTGCTGTAATTTGATTGATTTATATATATGATAAGTACATTCGTAATATAAAAAAGGAATTCAAACTGCTATGTCCAATTTAATCTTTTTTAAATAAAAATTTGAATAATTGATTAATTATTTCATTTGAAAATAATTGTTATAAAAAATATAATGTTTATTTATAAAATTTATTTGCGCTTTTATTAAAAAAGCAGTTATATTAATTAATTTATTATTTTTATTACTTTTTTCCTAATTCTTACTCTTCAAAAGAAGCAAAATTGTGTGATTTTAATAAATTAAGAAAAGGCTGAAAATAATTAAAAAGCCGCAAAAAGTGTAGCAATTTTCTTTTTTTCTTTTTTTAATTGATTAAATTCATACAATTTTACTTCTTTCAGGAAACGTAAATTGAAAAGACGGTAATCAGAAATTAAATTTTATAAATATATTTTTCGATTAAAACGTAAATGAATTATTTTATTTATGCTGATCAAATCAACGTTGAATAGTCAAAATCAATATTAATTTCGAAAATCAGTAACATATCGATAAAAGATGTCAAGACAATAAAAATGTAAGCGTAATTAAAAACCTGAGGCGCGCGAATTCTGTGCGATATTATTCTCTAATTTGAATAATTTATAATTTGAAAAGTATTGTAATCCAGAGATGTTTGTAATGCGATTGTCTTTGATTAATTTCATGGTACAAATATTAAAATAATGCATTATAAGAATGTGTAGTGTTAAAATATAATACGCCGTTTACAGGGTGTAGTGAGGAATTCTTACATGTAAACAGAGCGAGGTCGCGCACATCAAGGAGTGATCGCGCATACCTACATGTTTGATAATTACATGTTTTCTGACGAGACACCTAGCTCGCGTACATTTGCGTAAATACAGTAGGCGGTTTCGTGCACGTTAAAGTTGCGTTCGCGGTAAGGGTGAAATACTCTACGTGAAAGCCAGATCCTATTACACCACCCGCAAAGGTGGGTGATAAACGCCTCCTGAACTGACTCGTCCGGTCATTAAGACTTATCGCTGGATTAACGCTTGGCTTATAAACCTTCAAACGCATGCTGCCTTGCGCGAGTACGAATAATTATACCTACTAGAGCTATCCTTCTGAGGGCCGAAGCATACCTTTTAGAAATTAGGACTCCGCATAATTTATGAATCTGCATGCAAAAAGGCATTTAAAATAGCTTATCTCGGTGCGATCATAATGTGCGATCACTTCTTTCCTCGTAATGAACATATTAAAATGCATGTATCACATTTCTACATTTGTCATACGCGATATCTGGCTTCGACACTAATTAGCAACAAAACTTTAATGAAGCGCCTGCAAATTAATTCTCGCAACAATATGCGCGAAATATTCAATAAAATGCTGATGCCGTATCGTAGCTGACAATGAATGGATATAGCTGCTGTTGTTGCAGATTGTTCATTTATTGTTATTCCGATTAACGAATAAATAGTATTTTGATATTAAATATTAACCAATATTACAGTACACATGATTTAATTACTCGTACTTGCATGCGATGCGCACTTTAATAGGCGTGCTGTAGCAAAAAATATCGGGAAAGCAATTAACGGGCGCGATATAAGGCGCATATGCCTTAAATATGTAATACGTAATTATGATTTCACTATGGTTGACTATGGGAATAATTTTTTAAAAATCCGATAATACTAAAACTCGAGATCGTTGAAAAATTTAATGTAATATTAAATTAACAACTTTTAATATGACCTCGTCTGGAGATAAGACCCAAACTGCTGTAATAGCAGAAAAACCGTATTTAATATTTAAATGATTTTGAGAAACTGGATATTAAAATATTAACGAACAGATTTGGTTCGAACAGATTTAGACTCAATAATTCCGACTGTAAATAATGAAATTGAATCACTTTCAATTTTGAATGATCTTGCGACCATAATTTTCAATTCTCGTATAAGTTTAACTATTCAACCGCGCTTACATGAAATTGGAACAAAGTTAAATTATCTATAGATATTTATATATCTTTTATAATTATATGAGCGAAATATATTTCTTCTTAAATAATGATAAATAATATTGTTAACAACTGCGTTAATAAAACGGATATTGCGATTCGATTGTTGCAGGTGTCGCAGGATGGTAACATGACGAGTTCCATCTTGTCGTTTCAGCCTACTCTAGCACATCACGATAAAGTTATCACGTGCAGGGCTGAAAATTCCAAAGTCCAACATGGTGTAGCAGAGGACACATGGAAACTGAATGTTTTTTGTAAGTATGCACCCTCGCTGATATACAACAAATATAAGATAGAGTTACACGCAAACTATCAACGAAAATCAGAGATTTTCCAGCGATTTTCAATTATAACTGCGATGGCTCGATAAGGAAAACGATATTCAGCGACTGTATAAATTACCTACATACAAACGATACATTTTGTCTTGTATATATCTAACACATAACAATAACGTAATTTGTTTTGTTGGCTATTATTCCGAGAGCATATTGCATGCTATCATATGCATAATTGGAATAATTACGCACTCCACATATGATATTGATACACGCAGTAAAATAAAAAATTGCACGAGGATAATATCAGATCGCAAACCGATGGCTGAGGTAGACCACGAGTTTACATATTAGTAATAGCAACACGATATGCTCTGCAGAGCCAGCATTATTATCACTGATATCATTATTCATTAACACACCGTCATCAATATTATGCAAGCGAATCAACAGTACTCGATCCGTATTAAAGGATAATAACGAACGAGTGGCCATTTTCTCTCTTTTACGCTTGCCGCGCGATAAAAAATGAATAAGGAATATCTCTTGGCGTAATATTATATATATATATATATATATATATATATATATATATATATATATAATACTTACTTTTTTATTTTTATACGACTATGAAGATAAAACATTAAGTCTATCGGGGATAAAATTATATGCGTACTATAAACATTTATCCCAGAAATTTCAGTTCAACAGGCTCGCTGCGAATATTTTTTTGGAATTTTTTCCTTTATAAGAGAGACGTAATAGATTTTTTAGTAGGAAAGTTGCCGGGGATACGGACATTTCAGAGATTTAAATCCGAATTGTCGCCCATTAAACGCCGCGCGCATCACCGCGCAAAAACAAGCTGGCAGTAATTCATCAAAGCCGTAAACTCATAAGCGGAGCATTGCGCGGGTGTCGTCTCTCCGTACAATCGACACATCGGAAAATTCGCGCGGCATACGTCAACGCGTGCACGTGTACATACATAACGGGATACGGCCGGGGCCGACCGTGCAGCACCATACGCCGTCCGTATGTATATCGAACGTGGTAAACGGGTTAAAAGCTTGGCAGGCCGAAACAAGGCCGTCGATATAGATTACGTTCGCGCAAACGCGAATGTAATCACAATAACGAGACGTCAACGACGGGGCCAAAATGGAACGTTCGGCGTGGCGGTGGCTGACCAGCGCGACCCGATTTATTTGCCCGCCGCGGCATCTCGACGCTCGCAAATTCGAAAGTTCGCTGCGAGACAAGTTCCACTGTGTCGTTTTCGACGAACAAGTCGGATCCTCATGAAAGATGATTATGTTATAACTCGTTAGGAATTCCATTCCGTTAATTTAGATATTGAAATTGAAGGGATACTTTCGCACTTTCTAGTAATAATATGACGAGAAATTAAATTTAGATAAATTTAATTGTAATGTCTACAGAAGGTCTGTTTCTTTTTCATTATTTTCTTCATTAAATTAAAACGAGTGCTTGAACATATCGACTTGTGTTTACTCATGCAACATATGTAGAGTTTTCTATAAATTAGAAACGCTTAAATAAATATCGAATCGATTGTTTCAATCTTGTTTAAAATCATGCGCTCGATGCAATGTAGCTAAAACTAATTTTTTTTAATAATTGAAACTAGCTACAGCTTCTTTTGAAAACATGTTTATCGTCGAAACACTAATTCGAGCAAGACTCGTGAAATAATCAGGAACGTCGTTTTTCTTACAGTTGTTCCAATTTTACACCTGCAACTTGGCTCGAACATGAACCCGGATGACATCGAGGAAGGCGATGATGTATACTTCGAATGCAAAGTTCAAGCGAATCCGGGTGCCTACAAAGTCGTGTGGAAGCACAACGTAAGTCAAAATTGTCTTATAGTACATGCTCGGGGGGGTGTTTATCCGCCCCGGATTCGCGATTGGTCAAACTCGGTTGAAGGACCAGAGGGCCCGTGCCCTCACGAAAGCGATTAGAAATGCCAAAAAAAAGGGGGGTGCGAAGCGACTCACCGTATCGTAGCCCGTGATGTCCTCGCACAGCCTCCGTCCTTCCTCCTGGTTCTCGTGGTGGCGGAGAGTCAGCCCAGGCAGGATGGTCGTGCAAGACGCATGCGGATCGCGTGATCGTGCGTGCAGGCGGAAGACAAGCAAGCAAGCGTTAATGCACACGATTCGAATCACACGGCGCCGTTTCGCGGGGTGCACCCGGGCGCGGAATACCGTCCACAAAATCACTACGTGGCAAGATTCTATCGATACGATGTAATTCTTCTCGAAAAGCTAGAGACGACGACGGTCCGAGACGTGAGGCGTCGAGTACGGCCCCAACTTTTACTGTCTTCTCTCGCGTACGAAATACCACTGTGTCGGTGCTTGCGCCTCGCGAAGACACCGGGAAGAAGCTCCTCTACTTCGTGCTTGGGGTGGCCGCCCGCGTGCGGGCAGCACGAGTCGGGTGAGTCGCGCGAACATTGACTATCGAATGGATCGCGATCCGCCAACGTCGCGCGCGAGTCGCTAATACGAAGTGAGCCTCGTTACCGACCGTAAACGAGACAAATATATACAAAGATGCTAAGCAACTAATCTAACGCGAATACAATACAATGACGCAACTAACAACTATTTACAAGTAACTATTTACACGCGAGTACCAAACAGTACATATCAAATATGAAACACAGAGTACGAAAGTATGAAATAGAAAAGCTTTCTGTTGTGAATACATCCGTATTCGTGTAATGTATATATACGTCGTTAAAAATGTTAAGCACGGCAATGCGAAAAAGCCGATACCGAAACTTTTGTGCGGGACGGAATCGTGGATAAAAATGCATTATTCGAATTGGGTAAAAGCCCAGAGGTTTGAGTTTGAACAATGACCTCTGGATTCTCTCGCGAGTGATATATTTACGCTTGAATAGTTCCTAAAACTGTTCGCTCAGAATAATGGCTATTGCAGCCGTAACCGACAAATAGGAAACAAACTTTCCACATGCCTAAAACCTCTTCCTACCTCTCCAAATATTACCCGACTCGCGAAGTGGAACGCAAACATAACACAATTACGCAAAAGAGTATCCTTTGATGTAATCTTAAGTGCATCTATAAAATTAGCTCATCCTTTATCTTAATTAAATTTCTATTTATGCAGTGGACGTACTGTTTTCACTGACCACTTCGCGACTGTTTACTTAAAACGGCTACAACGTGATTTTCTGAATCCATTCAGAAAATCACGTGTTCATAAGAACACATAGTAATAAATTTCGTTTCGATAAATTTTATCTCGGACGTATCGGGGTTTTCCTTTGCATGTAGCACGAAAGCTTGATCTTCAACGTTACTCGAAGACTCCGCCTCCGAAGGTGTATCGTAGCCGACGCTAAACGGTGTACCGATATAAATGGTGGTATAATACTCCCTCGCTCCGCTGACGCCGTTTTTACATCGACGTTATATTCGCAGATCTCATTACGCGTCGTTTCTCCTTGCATTTCCCCGACAATGTCTATTCACGTTTCCGCGTCCTTTCTACCTCCAACGTCGCTGACGTCATTATGTATTGTTTAATATAGTACGTTATATTATGGCACGGTGTCCATAAATGCTTTGTAAATACGCGGAATGTCCAACTTTACCGTCGTCGTCGTTGGGGTAGCAGTTAATTAACTCGATATTAATAAAACCCCATTTAATTAAGTAAAATCCCCGTCCCCGTCGTCCTGAGTGAAACCCATCTATTGCAAAGCTACTTTCACCTTGAACATGAATTTCACCTGGACAAAGGTTATATGAATTATTTCGTGCTTTGTGAAACCCCGCGATCCCCGTCTCTTTGTTTCCATAAGTATATTTAAGTATTTATCAATTAAAGCGTTTGATCCAAGCGCACATTCGCACAAGAATAAGTCACGAGTTATCGATGACAACGATGATTGTATTACCATGTAGATTGGAAATAATAAAGGCAGTCGAGAGATAGTAACGCGGCATTTCGACCTAATCGCGAATGCGCATTGTTCCAGGGAAACGTGATTCAGAATAACGCGAAGAACGGCGTGATAGTCCAGCAATACGATTTGGCTCTCAGAGAGGTGAATCGGTCCCAGGCCGGAAATTACACCTGCGTCGCCAGCAACGTCGAAGGCGACGGCTACAGCAACATCGTGGAGCTCAAGATCATGTGTAAGTGTTCTGTACCATCATTGATATTATATATCAAATATATAGCATAAGATATCTGTCGCGTAGCAAAAATGTAGATAAAAATGTATGCCGACTCGCATTTGTTTGTGCGAAAGTACCTCTCGTTTGTACAGAAAAGGAATCTTGTTTCAAACAATTTTAAATCTTCTCTCCGACCTTTTTTGCCGAAAATATCGTTTCTACCTTTTCTCTTGGTCTTTACAAAGCCAACCTCGATTATTTCTCATTTCCTGCCCAAAATCCCCGTAATTATTTTGCCCGTCAAAGCGTCGCAAATATTTCAACGTAATACACTGTAAACGACACGGCAATGTAACCGATGACTGACATTTAAATACCGACGTTATTAAGCGCCTTCGAGGTGACTTTAGGGAGAATCGCGACAGTCTAGCCGCGTAATTGGTCACCGGGTTTATGAGGCTTCGGGGATATTATTCGTGAATAAACGTCAAATATCAAGATGTCGGCATGATTATTCATTAAAAACACATTGAAAATGGGCGTAGGGATGAAGGATGGGCGAAGGGGATGGCGGAAGAAAAATAGGGCGATCCGCAGCGAACCAACAAATTATTCCGAACCGGCAAACTGGGATTCCCCCATACCTCCCGTTCGACCTTCGTTTACTCACTCCGCCGCGAAAAAATGGGGAAACTATTCAAGCGAGCGGGCGAATAATGCCCATCGATCTCCCCTCGAAAAGCCGGGCGGTGGTCATCCCGCTTCGTGCCGCGCACCTCTCGCACTTTTAATAAATGCGCGTAAACTTCTCGGTTCTCGGTCTCCATATCGTATGTTACGGTTATCTCTGTTCGCTGTATGCGCTGTAAGAATCGACCGTTTTGATTTATCAACAGTAAATTTTTATACTCTCCGAGATTACTCGCTAGCCATTACATTTAATACCTTGGATTTCGAACGTTCTTTGAGCCACGAATATGTTAAAGTCGAGAGACAAAGTGGAGAAAACAAGAGAAATGTATATTTATCTCTATATCAACGTAAACGGATAGATATATAAGAATAAATACAATTTAAAGAAGCTACACCGGATACGTTTAGACTCTCAAAGTTTGGTAAATCAAATAGAACAAAAGCCACTCGGGGCCATTCGGGCTGATTTAATAGAGTCGCTCGCGTCCGTTCTTTTCCCAGACAAACCGATTTGCGTGCCGGATCAAAAGCGAATCTACGGAGTGGCGAGGCACGAGGACGCGCGGGTGATATGCAGGGTCGAGGCGTATCCGCCACCGGAGAGCTTCCGTTGGACCTTCAACAATACCGAAGAGATGGAGGACGTGCCGCAGGCGCGTTACAAGAACTCGACTAGACATACTCAGAGCATCCTCACATACCGGCCGGTCACGGAAATGGACTACGGCACCGTGCTCTGCTGGGCGAGCAACACGGCCGGCCAGCAGAAGAATGCCTGCATATTTCACATCATTCCTGCGGGTAAGTATACGCACGCGGTGTACACCGGTAATGCCCGCGCTCCGACCTCTCGTGAGTCGCTAAGGATTTCCGGGAAAAGTTCCGGGAAGCGCTCTGCGAATCTGCATGCCGAGCAGTTTCGCAACGCCGCGCCGCCGCGCCGGAACAGCGTAGTCAGTAGTATCTCGTTGCTAAATCAGTATCTCTCAAATAATTTTCATTGAGATGGAGAGACAGGGAAGGAGAGAATTGTAAACACAATGTTAATGGCGCGTGCAGGCAAGCCGGAAGCGCCGTACAACTGCACGCTGACCAACCAGACTACCGAATCTCTCTCGGTGGAATGCACCGCTGGTTTCGACGGTGGTCAGCCTCAACACTTCCTCCTTGAAGTGTTCGATCAGCACACGGGGGTCCTGCAGGCTAACGTCACATCCAGAGAGAATGCAGCTTTCACTGTGCAGGGCTTGGAACCGGGCAAGGTGCTGCATATGGTCCTGTACGCGGTGAACGCGAAGGGAAAGAGCGAGCCGGCGCTGCTGGAGGGTTTCACGCTCAAAGTCGCCGAGAAGCAGACTGGTAAGTTGTGCTAGAAATATTTCCTTTCATCGGAATCCGTAGAGTTGGGAAAATATGGGCAAAAAAAACGTTCCTTCCGCAATTAGTATTACTTTGAATGACGAATTAATTACATTGCTTAGAAAAGTTTAACGTAAGTAATTCTATTAGCGCGTAGAATTCGCGATAAGACAATAATCCATCGAGAAAATTTTATTTCTGCGGAATACGAGAGACGATGTTACCTAGATCCATAATTGACGTTAGTCCGATCGGGATTAATGATGATTGACAATGTCGGAATTAGACAACCAGGCGCTTCGGGCCCTGACGCTATCGATCGCGTTCTGCATCACCGAAATAAGTAATTTGATAGGAGTATACGTACGAATTACCGGCGCAGCGTCGCTCTATAAATTATGAGAGTGACCGGAGAATGCCGGGGGTTAATCGAATTAGCGAATTAAATCGAACGGACCCGCGCGGATTGTCCGTGTAACGTTTTAATCCGCTCATCCGATCCGTATCCCCGAGTCGAACTCGATATACCGGCCCGTACCGGTCGTTTCTCGCAGCTAAAGAGCACTTGGACCATGCGAAAGGTTTCACCGCGAAAATTGAGCATCTGGGTCGAGAAATTCAATCGGCGGAGCGCGCGCACACATACACACACATACGTGCGCGCGATCGTACCTGGGTGGATATTACGTAAGTTATATCCACGTCACGTGTACCGGTGTATGTGGATTGTTCTACGGAACGGCCGTCCGCTCGCCGCGAATGGTAATCTATTCCGACGTTTTCCAATCCACTTACACGAAACGGTTTCGGCCAAAAATTGGCGGCAGTTCTGGCGGTGCGTAAAACGCTACTGACCAGATTTACTTCGTGCTCCTTCGAAACACGAATGCCCCTTCGAAACGTTGGCTCGATTGAACCACGGGGTGCCGGCTTATTTTTCTCATTCGATACCGCGGCCAAGAAGGCTCAGGATTTCCCGTGCCTCGGTAAAGACTGAGAGAAATTCCATCCTGCTGAGGAGAGGAGATGAATAATATTTGCGAGGCGCGAGTAGTCAGAGACAGGATATATCATGAGTAATTACGAGAATTAATCTCGTCGTCCACCTCTGTAATTACGAAAGTGGGAAAGATCTATGAGAGTGACGCGAAACTTCCCGCAGGCGATATAATCGTCTCAACGAACGTCTCTGTGAGAGTAACGCGCCGATAGAATCCTCGCACGATTACTCACCGTAAAATCGCGGAAAATTGATATAACATCGCAAGGGAATCTCTCGATCGCACGAGAACTCCCTTGACAAACCTCACCCCCTCTCGTGAACATTCATTTGCATATAACTCTCGATTCTCGCGCGTCTGACGCAGCCGAGCGCACTAGACGTACATCGTATATTCCGCTACAGAGACAAAGGGATCTCGTAAACGGGGTACGTCGACTTACGAGTCCATAAGAAAGGCGAGCCGCGCGCTAGCTGAGCCACCACCGACGAATCCCACGCGGTTGATCCCGGTCCAGACGCCCGAGAGGATGAATCCCGTCGAATCCGTCCCTCGCCCGGCGCATTCATTCCGTAGATTTCTGGGTGGTAGGATCTCGACCGACGCGGAGAGATTCGGGATCTACTGCTCTCCTAGAACGGATATACTCGACCCGGGCGTGCATGCACGTGTGTGTGTACGCGCTCGCGTGTACATAGTATATCTCTATATATATATCGGTCCGGGACGAATTTACAAGTGAAATTGCCCTCTCGGTCAGTTTCCACGGTGCGATTCAGGCGAATGCACCCGTCGCGCCGCGCACTACCCGTAGTGTATATACACCGGGTATATAAACCGGAGTACGTATGCGGGCGGAGTAGTCGGTTCGAAAATCGATCCTCTCGCCGCGAGAGCCGGGCGAGTGTGAAACTTTAATAAAATTCCGGGATCAGCCACCCACCTTGGTCGCCGGTGCACCGTCGCGTCGTCGTCGCCTCGCTCTTGCGCCTCGTACGCGAAAAACGCAGGAAGATCTCGCGATCCCTCTCCGTCTGCATGAACGCCTGACCACGGCACGGCTACGCTAACTGGAGCAGCGCTTCTGAAATCTCAGAGCTCGTCGTCCACCGTGCTCCCCCAATATTGCGCCACGGCGTGAAATACAAATTAACACGTTGCACGTAACCCGCGCGTAACCCGCATATACATGGCGATACCGGCCACGCGCGGATTCCTATGATGTAAATAGTAAATACACCGCGAGGAGAGCCGGCCAGCTCTCTCGCCCGAGATCTCTCTACCATATAGTTTTTAATTTGATCGGTCCCGGGAAAAAAAAAAGAAGGCGCGCTCTATTTCCGCGATACGCAAATACTCGCGACGCAGGCGAGCTTAATTCCATTTACCGCGTACGCAAACTTCCGCGATGTGCAAATTTCCGGCTTACGACTGTACCGCACCGTATCGCGCGGTTCGGCAAATATTATTGGTGGGAGTGTGTATATTAAAAGTTCTTTCGCGTTACGAAAAATAAACAGGATTCGATACCCACGGGACCAAAATCGTAATTTATAAATCGTCACGTGCAGTATCGTCGGTTTTAACGGTAACCCCGCGGTATTTGTTTTGCAACTAGTCGAGTATGATTTTCCTGCGGAATAACGACATTCCCCGCGGAAAGTCAAATAACGAGCGACAAAATAACGATTGTTGTAAATAAAACTAACAATTTAAATCAATCGAATTGTCAAATCAACCGAATTTTCGAAAAACAAAACAATGATGAATGAAGGAAAAAACACCCTCAACAAAATATCGCTTCTTCTGTAACTCAGCATATCGAGAGAAACGAGCATCCTTGCAACTGAAATATCCTCTCTCTACGTGTAAATTGATTTTATTCATCTTATTATTCCAAAATTTTATGAGCATCTAGTGATATTTTTAAATTAAAATCCTTGTAATTGAAAATTTTCATTTCCTCGCTTAAATTAAAGTAAATATGGAAAATTTTCGAGTACAATTTACAATTTTCTAAAGTCCACTCGTCAAATGTGTCAAAATTTGTGGCATATAAAATTACAAATATTCTATCCTGAAATACCTTACAAGGGAACTACAGGAACAAATCGCCGAACAAAAACACATCTGTAAAAATCAACTAAAGTTAAGAACGGAAATAGGGGAAAAGCAGAGGTGACGAAGGTAGATGGCGGGTAAATATCATGGGTGCCCCGGTGCACTTTCGCCTTGATTAAAAATTAACGTGCACTTTGGCTGTGCATCGGAGCACGGAGTAAAAACACTCGGTCGCTCGTGACTAAAACGAGTGGCAATTACGAGCGATGTCTCTCAGGAGGGTCCGGGCTAAGGAAAGAGATTAAAAAACGGACTGGTGGAGAGCGGGTATAGCGAGCGAGTGGTGTGCGAGCGCGCGCGAGGGAAGACGTGGCGGAAGACGGCCGGGGTGGAAAATTAAACGTCGCCCGGGAGCGGTGTTTAAACGTGGAGAGATATCAAAAGGATTCGAATTCATTAATCTTAGAAATGGTAGGTAGGTAGGTAGTCAGATGGCTCCGTTCTCGCGCGGGCCAAATATCTCGAATCTTTTTACGGCGTAATGCGACTTTAACTCGTTTAACCCGTTTACCCTCGCAGCCCGTCCGGAAAATTGTCCCGCCCGGTACTTCCCTCGGAAGGCTGGTTTATTGTTTCGCGCGAATGAAATATTTTCGGGGCACAAAAGCGCGTTTCGCGTACAAATACACGAGGCGTATTCGCATTATTTACCAAACATATTGCCGCCACACTTACCCGTACTTTATCGATCCCACCGACGCGTTTGAATAGATTCTCCGAGAAAGGCTATTTCTTTTTTTCAACGTAACCGCAATATTTCAATATATCCGCGCGAGCGGAAAAACTGCCATCGACGTACTTGCACGAGAGCAGTGCGCGTTTTGTTCACAGGTACTCCGGTACCCTTCGAGTTCACTCCGTTACTCGGGAGCCTGATCGGCGTGGTCGCCGCACTCCTGCTCATCACCGTCGCCATCCTAGCCGCCCTGAAAATGAGGAGCGAGAGGCGAGCTCAAAGGCCGGGCGATTTACCTCTAAAGAAGGCTACCGCACCAAGTTCGGAGGACCTTTACGACGCGGACGACAGAAATCCGGACGTTGTGCCGACCAACAAAGGTAGGGGACCGTCTTTGTACGAGAACGTAAATGGTTAATAAAAAAGCGAACATCAAAATGCTTTGTGTACCCGAAAAATTACATGACATTGATCAAACGTATCACGCCTGTCGGTTTTTATCACCGAGTTTTTTAATATTTGCGTTGTTTGATGCACGCTTTATGCGAGAAATGCGTAAATAAAAAATTCGGAAGTATCCTATGCGTATTCGACGCGGAGCGCACGGTTGCGAGAATTCGAACAATGCACGAAATTATTTGGCCGCGTAAATCGCGCGCGGTAACGCAATGCTCGCTGTATATGTAACGACGAGCAACGTGTAACGCATATCGCTGCGCGATATACGTCGATTGACGCACGCTCAATTCACGTTTGCTCTGAAAATATTTAACGCATGTAGGTATCCCGCGCTCTACGACGAAAGACAAGACATAACGCGATGCAAGATTACTGCCATCGACACCCTGTCTTTTGAATGGTAACGCGAAAACTTCCACTCGTATTATACAAAACAAATTCTATATTTTTATCACAACTTTTTTCTTTCTTTTGAAGTCGAAGAATCGCACGTAAATTTATTACTACGTAAATGATCGAGAAAAATGAGGTACAAATAATGACGTCGAAAGAAACTCTCAATTTCGTGCCGTCGATAATAATAACGAAGTACTATAATCAAATCTAAAAATTGTACGTGAATAATGTTTCAGTTTCCTCTCCTTTATTCTCTGTCTTTGAAATTAGACGTTTAATTACTCTCATCATATGAACGAGATAGTGTCTGGTTATTCCACTTTTCTTTGCATACGCTTTAGCGAATTTACTTTAGACGTACCAGACTTTCAATTTGTATTGTAATTAAAAAGAATCAGCCAAAACGAGTTTTTTAACTGTTTAACCCCCTTGCTCCTTTTAGATCTTTTTAATCTATCTTTATTTTAATAAAAACAGCACTGTATGCGTTGCTCCTAACATATTAAATATCTTGATTTTATAAACTATAAATTTTTAAATATATTAGAATTTTTAATGAAATTTTTTTATAATAGAGGTAAATAATATTCGGTTGGAGTAGTATTAGATCATATAGAAATGCAGTTTTACTGCAAACAAATTTTTACGAAAAAAGAAAAAAACAAGAAAGGAACCGGCAGGGTTAACGTTTCTGTTCCGAGGGTTCGACTCGACATGGGAATTTTATCAGCTACATTGCCCGCCGCTGGCTTTCAAGCGTAATATCTGATTGACAGCGATCGAGAACACTTGACCAAGTGTACTCGGGACCGGAAATTCAGCGGACTCTATTGCGAACGCGGCGCGATTCGTTAACAGCGTCAGCATCGCACAGCGGTATGCTATGCGTCATTACATCGCTCGCAGTAATACCGCGAGAACAGCATTGCCGAACGCGCGGTTATGGTTGAATATACAGCTGGTAACCATAGAACTTAACCCCGGACTTGTTAATAAATTACCCGATTACGAGAGAGACTTGTTCATCGTGCTCGCTTATGCGAATCCGATACACAACGTATTCGAACAGTTACCATCGCGCTGATGAGTTTGTTAAAGCAATATTGTGAATAAATTCTTTACCATCTTTTTGATATTAAATTTTTTATAGACGCATATATTTTCTCGGTTTTTTGTCGCAATCAATAAAATACTGACACGAATTTCTCTAAAAAAAAAGAAGGCAAATTATTTCCTTTATAATTATCAGTCATTTTATATTTGTAACTGAGATCGAAATATATCCGGGACGCAAATTTGTCGTCTGAATGAGATACATAGTATTAACTTAATAAAGAAAATTACTCTGGACGCGATATTACTTAGTTAATTATTTAATAACGATCGAAACGATATCTGATTATGTACAAATTACTATTTAATTAACATATCGCATTAGCATACTGCTCCTCGATGAATTAAGCCGGGTATCGATATACATTAGTAATGCCTCCTAGTTATTAGTTTATTACGATAAAGTTCAGTGCGTCATCACGAAATGAATTAATGATTCAACTAGTTTAATAGCATAACGAACACATTATATCGCGGTTTTCTTTTCAATGAATGATACAGCAAACTCTATGAATAATTCGCGTAGCTATAACGCTTTACAATATCTAATTCATTTTTAATGAAATAGATGAAATTATTAAATTTTAATTGAAACTAGCACAATTTGTTATTATTAATTTGTGGCGTGCAGAATAAAAATGTTTTATTTCTTACTTACATTTTTTGTATAAATGTACATATATGATTTATTTAAATATTATTTATAGGAACCAAGAGAAACCATATTTATTCTGTAGTAATATATGTCAAGGATAAATTTTTATTTTTAATAAGTGCTTTTTGTACAACTTTACCATGTTATTTGAAAAGTTCACGTTTACTTGCAAGTTCCAATCGATACGTCGAGATCCCTTTGAAAAGCAGACGTGAACTTTTCAACAAGAGCATACTCGATAATATCTTGCTGCGAAGCAAAGTGGAAATTTTTAATGTACTTGAAACGAAAGATTCAGATTATCAGCTGACCGGTTCGACATCCGGCACACCGTTGGCAACGCAGAACACACCGGATGGTCTTCCACCGTCGTCCCTTCCGACCCAGCAGACGAATAATCATCTACAAGGACTTCCCGCCTATTCGCATAACGACTATAACAATTATCCAACCTTGCCGGTAAGTACCGCGTTCTCTTTTTAGTAAAATTGATTAATTTTCTCGATTTTATATCGACAAAAAGACTAATTTCCGAAAATACATTGCGTAATACGCTATAAGTATTTAATCCAAATTTGAAAAATTATTATTTAACTACAAAAATGCATGTGTAAACGCTTTGTATTTGATAGTAAAATTTAAAAGAGTAGATGCAACATAGCTGATGGGGAAAAATAAAGGTAAACAAAAATAAATAAATAAAATTTATCGTAATCTTATAAAAATGTATATGGGATTTTTGTAAATTGCGTTGATGTCAAATACGAGGTTTAAATTTCAAAATTCAAAATGACAGATGCAATATGACGGACGCGAAAATGAAAATTTCATCAAAATCTCATAAAAATGCATATATAAAATTTTTACGGTCATTGATGTCAAATATGATTAAATTTCAAATTTACAAATCCAATATGGCGAACACGAAAATGAAGAATGCCATTGAAATTTCATAAAAATGCATATGCTAAGGTTTTTCAAATCACTGAGTTATACTCCTCCTGTGCATATACATAGCTATACGCAAATGAAATAAAAATAATATATCATGTATTTGTTTTTATTATATTGTGTTAATAAATATTTTATAAATTGTATTTTACATATATATATATATATATATATATCGATATATTTTTTATGTTCATTATTTTATATCAATATTTCAACAATTTCTTCTGTCCTAACGTACATTCGATTCTGTTTTTCACTTCTTCCTCTGTCCAATCATTCACGTGAAATTCCTCATGATTTGGAAGATGGTATATTTGGTATAACTGTATTTTAAGCCAATTGCCTTCATATTAATATATTTTGATATATAAGATATATAATATAGAAATTGAATAGCGTATAATAATCATACGAAACACTTTAGTGAATAACCGCCAAATGCAAAAGCCAATTCTCTAACAAACTCTAACAATTCCCTCCAGAATCTATGTTAAATTATACTTTGTTGTCCCGCCCGGTACAACTATATACCGTAGTATAGTTGCTACAGACATTACATGTAAAGGGATGTTCTGATTTCATGAGAGGAAAATGAATGTAATACAAACCGCTTGCAACAAAGAGAGAGACTTTAAACAATTAAAGTCGATAGTTTAAATCACGAGAATTTCGTTAGACAAGCGAGCGAAGGACGTTTTAATAAAGTTAATAGGTTCATCCAATGAGATGGGAAACTGAGGAAGTGGAGTGCAAAGAAATGGAAGAAGCGAAAGCAGTTCACCGAATCGCGCCGTTGTCGTACTGTCGCGTCGTTTCCCTTTTCCCTTCGAGCTTCGCGAAAAGCTTCGGCCAACGTTTTCAAGAAAGTCCTCCAGCGGTGTAGTTTGAAATAACAGTATCCATCCGGAGAGGATGGCGGTGCGTAAAGTTTCAACCGGAAAGCAACGCTTCCAGCGGTTCGAAACTAGAAAATTGCACTGTCCACGTCTCTCCTCTCGATTTTGGGAAACATTCTGAGGTCGGGGAAATTCTAACGCTACGATTACGCAAATAACGATCCTCTCGAATGAAATTATTTTGCACACGGCACGATTATTAACCGACGGGTTGTAAATGCGAAAGAGAAAATTTACATTCGTAACTCGCAACGACGAACCGATCAGAATCGAAATATCGCACTTTCCTCGTTACATTCGCGCGGACTCCCTTTTCAAATTCTCCCCGATTTCCTCTTGAGCTCTTTTCGTTACGATTCGCTGCAACTTCACCCTCAATTTCACACCAAATTAATTGCTAATTACCGCGGGGATCTAAAGTTCTGTTAGTAAAACCTCGGCAGGAACAAAACTCCAGAGTGGAAAACTTTGATTATCGCTAAGGATTTTCGTATTCCGTTTCCCCTCGGTTAATTGTTGCTTTTTCTTTAAATACCGATTGTTCAAATCTTTTCGCTGAATTTGAAAACGTTTTCAGAATTGGCGGTATGGACGATTATCGGCGTTGAATTTCTCCTTAACCTTAAGCACTCGTGGAAAATTGTTGGAGTTCGCTAAGTCTCGATAAAATATACATTTCCATGGAGAATGTAGGTAGAAAGCCTGATGTAAAACCTGATGCGATACAGGAACCGGTTTACGCTTTGAAAAATCTATGGAATTTGCGATTTCTTCCTGATCCTTTACATGATAAAATCCTGACTCGTTCTCGTGGACAATTTCGTCTGCATCGTACTTTTTCCCTGAATGTTCCATCGCGACGAAACATTTCCCGCGTTGTTTTGCGTCCAATTTATAGGAAATGGCGTCGGGCACTCGAGGGTTGCCGTCCTAAACAGTCGAAGGAACTCTCGCCGTCAAAAGTTTCCGTAATACGAGCCAACTAGTCCAGGCGGTCCCTCGAGAATATTCAGGAGTGAAAATTTCGAAAGTTAGACCTGTCCGTATTATCTAAGTCCTGGAACCGGAGGAAATGCGACGCGAGAACCGTCCTCAGTTTCTTAGGAACGCTTTCCAGCTCTATCGCGAAAGTTGACCGTCTCGCGGACGTGGGATTATTTAAATGTCCGGTCGTACGCGTCGCAGTATAATGGTTGCATTTACTTTGGCGGATTACGCCTCGCGCACACATCTATAAACCAACGCTAATGTATTGAAATTGGTTTAATCTCCTGTTACCCACGTATCATTAGACATCCGAGCGGACTTGTTGCATAATACGTGACTGATTCGATCGATGGAAACAATACACGTACTTAATCCCTAATCGGATTCAAGGCTCATGTAGAACCCGGCGATTATCGTACGTTTCCATAAATCTCATTCAGTTGGAGTTAACAGAAAAGTGTCCTGCTCGCTATCGCATACCTGCTAGTTCATAACTGAAGTATACATAGTTACGTTCCCATCCACGTTTGCCACTTAGCTAGATGATCATCGCTACAAATTAATCTCGTCTCGTTAAAAAAGCTTGCAAGATTTTCTCTTGCAGCAACAGTCCCCTTCGTTTGCGTTCGAACGTCCTTTGTGTATAGCACGTCCTAAATTTCCTCTTTCAGTTATCCGGGGAGGTAACGTACGCCGAGCTGTGCCTAGCGAGACCCACCACCCTGTCGACCCTGGCGACTGACCCCAAACTGGCTAGTCTTAGCGGCGGAGTTGGCGGTCTGGGTGGTCTTCAGGGCTACGGCAGCGGTCTCGGGGTGATCGTAGGCGGCAAGCCGTACACGAAAGAAGCCACGGTCTACGCCTGCATTGACCACAACGCCAGGCCACCCAAACTGGACGTCTCCAACGCGCCGTCATGCGCGACCACCCCTCTGTCGACGGCGAACGTGCTCCAGGACTCCACTGTCGCCACCGTGATGAGCGGCAAGCAGCATCACCCGGCGAGAGAGGTCGTCACCGTCCGCACGCCCCTGATCTCGACCCAGGAGAGCTGCGTATAGGGACGCGACTCCGACGCGCTCAACGTCAACGAGTACTACGTCTGATATGGCATACGCCGGCTCGTGGCGATCGTGCGCGTCTTCGTGGTGCGCGACCTTTTGATTCCTGGACTTGCGGCGCTCCCCCCGGTAACGTCCTCGAATTCTCGGGAAAAGGTAGAGTATGGTGGGGCAGGTCGAGATGGATTTTTTATTTAGGCTTATATTTCCTGAACTAAGAGAGGTAAATTAAAGATCGGGGTATCTATAGATAGAGGGATCTTTTGTGTACGTGAAAGTAATTTTTAATTATTTTCCAAACTCTTGCATTTGTCTCAATGTGCCCCACCCATGGGGCAACCTATAATAATGACTCAAACACCACTTTTTTAAATATATCTATGACTGTCTTTATTTAGAACAAAAAAAATTTACACAAAGAAGCCAACATAAATATTTATAAAAAAAACATTTCTTTTTTCTTCTCTTATTTTATAGCACAGCCATAACTTTATGCATTAATATGTACCTAAATTCAGAAAAACGTCGACAGATCGAGATTTAATTAGATCAGTTCTCACGTGACATTTTAGAATTTTAAGTATTATACACTATACAAATAAAATTAATTATTTATGACGTTACGTTACGATAAAAGCGGAATTGTTCCTAAAATTGTATTTTTCAACGGAGAATAAAATCAGATGGTAATGGCAAAAGGACAAGAACGTGTCCAACATTGAGAAAATCTTCACGTCGGATTTTCGTAACTGTGCTTTATACGATGCACTTGTTTCGCGTCGCGACTGCCAGCGCGGAAATATTTTGCGGATTTTCGCGCGGAAATAAGTCGATCTTTCTCTCGCGGCGCGGATCTTCTCCGTTCTCCGTTCTCCGAAATTTACCGTTGCACTTGGCGCGACGTAATCGACGCGATACACTCCGAGAGAGAGAGAGAGAGAGAGAGAGAGAGAGAGAGAGAGAGAGAGAG